TAGCTTATGCCGCAACCAAAGTGGGTAGTTATTCCTACAATTCTATAGGGAGAGTGATGGGAGCAATAATGGTTGGTGACAGAAAGTGATAACGACTGACGCACTACATTTCTTACACGTTACTACTAAGTATTACAAGCAAGAGACCCACTATGTGAGCTCATTCATTTACTTGCGATATTACGAAAATGTTCGAAAGCTAAGGCTGTACCTGTTTGTATTTATGCTTACGCTTGGTTTCGTGCGGAGTGATGTACATTGGGCATGTGGAACGATAGAGAAAAATTTTCTGAAAACCGTATCCGTTGCCGTAGGACAATATCCGGGTATCACTACCCTCTAGCCTCGTTCTCGTGCACTTTTAAGCGGATGAAGTGGCACGCTACTGCAGCCGCGGACTCATACACCTCGCTCATAAAAAAGGTAGTCCTCGAGCTGAGTGTACAGTCTGCCTTTAATTCAGCTCGAACCTATCTTTCTTGAAAAATATGTAATAATCTGGGAGCATTTCCTTTTTGGAGTAGCGGACATATAACTAGGAATTTACTCTTCCTGGTTTAAAGGCAGTTGGCACGGTAAATCCCTAAGGGCGAGTAGGATTGATACGCCGGGACGGAATTCCGCGACCCTGAGCAGGCACTGCGTAGCGGTTTCTCCTAAGAAGGTACTCTTATAAAGGTCCTATCGAAGCCACAACATTCCGACCCAAACACCCACCACGCCCGCCCGCCCACAAATGGACGACCGTACCTGATGCTCGTTTTGCTTCATTTGCCAGGCAAAATATGAAGCGAAGGGATTTGTAGGAAGCGGCTGCACTGCTGGATGGATATATGAGTACATACATGCAGCCGTACCTACCGTAGCGCTTATCCGCAACACGCCTACGGGAAACTCGTCCGAAATTGCTTTTTAAGAACGGAGGCTTTCCTTCGCAGTTTTCGACCGTTTCACTTCGTTTTTTCGCCATTTTCCCACTAGGCAGCGCCCTGCTAGCATTTTGGGCTGTGTACCAAATTATCGTGCCAATTCAAGAAGGTTTTCGAAGCTCCTTTGTTGTATTCTGGTGTTCCAGCACAACACTTCTCTGAAAGACTTTCGCAGCTAGTTGGAGTGCGAGATCAAATCGAGAAGTCAATCGCAGCTGATCGGATGGCTATGTGTGAACTCCAGGTGAGCCCTGCACCTCATAGATATTTGTTTAGCTAATTTCGTGAATATTGAAATATTTGAGGTCAATTTTGTAAAACCAGGCTGCTTTCATAAGAAGCGTTACAAAATGTATTAGCACGATTAGGAATAAATAAGCCGTACTCGGGTCTCTGACTGGAATGATTGAGCCAGCAAATCGAGTCGACCGTGAAGGGTTTAGTTTGATACATTGCTCACAGTCTGCGATCTTGCGGAACCGTCAAAAAGCGCATTCACAAAAGGGTTTCAATGCGTATCGAAAGGGAGAGCCGGTGGATCGAGATCGAGAGAATAGGAGAATAATCGACGTTTTTGGAGATTGAGCGCCAAGAAAAAAATGAGTATCGGTCAGCCGACCTGAGACAATCGGAGTCGGTTCCGGTCGCAAGCGATTTGAGAGGAACAGGAGAATAGAGAATCAGCGAAGAAGCGCTGGTGCTAGAGCGATCAATTCTAAGCGTTTTATGGTGCGTAAAAATCGCTGATAAATTGGAAAATCGTCGGTTCATCTTAGTCTCCCAAGTCGCGAAGTATGAAGGCGGCCTTAAAGTTTTCTTTTTGTGGTGTCTATTTCAGTCATTGTGGTAAAAACAAAACTTGTGGCCAGATCGTCATGATGGAGTGTAACGTGATCTCATTTCCAGGTGAAGGCAAAAAGAAAGTATATATCAAGCAATGCTCGGTCAGAATCCCAAACGCTCGAGGAAAGGGTAAGTCGATCGAAATGACGTCTCTGTTTGCTGTAGCCATTGTAGCTAAGAACGGATATTTGTTTCCGTTCTGCATAATCCCTTTTGACAAGAATATGCTGTAAGGAATGTATCCTTATCATTTCCAATGCTCCAGAAGGAATGCTTCACTCTCTCTTGGTAAAGGCGATGTTTTTTTTTTGTAAAAAAGGTTCATTCTCGACATCCCACGCTGCCGTCGCTTTCGTGAGCCGTGGTCCTGAGTGTGGGATAAATGCACCTATCCCGCAGTTTGTAGCCTTCTATCTATTTATATTGTTTTGGAGGATGTTAATAAAGTGTAATTTATGATAGATGTGAAAGCATTTCTTCAGCCTCCAACTTCTCTCTTCGTAGAACCCAGGCATCGTTGTTAGTGTGTTAGTTGTTTTTTTTGTGCCTGCGAGTGGAACTGTTTATTAACGGCCTACTGTTTACTAACAACTCACTGGGCGGCTTCTTCCGCTCGCTGCGTGGTGGACCTTGGTGAAGTGGTTTGTACATCTACGGATATTTCCGGTTGTTCTTGACGAGGTTTCGCCAGAAAAAAAGCGCTATGGGGGAACGTGGCGTTTGACCGGTTTAAGAAATTAAGGCACGTTTCCGCGATAAACTAGGGCTAGGTTCTCATAACCGTGCCCGACGGTCAAGCAGGCAACGTCAGAGGCTATGCTGCTTACAAAAGTTGAAAAACAGCAAGCAAAACGCGGTGCGCTTCAGCTTTTAGGCCCATTGGCGCCCGATAGCCATGCGCGGCCCTCCCGGTGATCGTGGTCGTTGTGACATTGCCATTGTGCTCTCTCGCTCGTCGTTTTTCTGGCCTCTCTCGTCTCTTATAAGTGTCTCGCCGCCTTTTGCCATCCATAATCGATCTTGACCACCTTACGCTCGTCCGGTGATCATGATCAATTGAAATAGAGAGGGTCTTATTGCGGGCGCTTTTTCGTTTACCTATGAAGTGTGGTCGCGGGAATTGCCTTTAAATTAGAAATCTTGAGCTATGTTCAGGCATCCGAGGACGACGATCTGGTCGAAACGTTAGGTCGTTAATACAACAGTTCCACCTAACATTCTCGCAGGCACAAAAAGAACTAAACACATTTCTTCAGTGGTCAGCCAATCGTAACAGCATTTCGGCATTATGTCAACGACCTTTCAAGGAAGTAGTTCGAAAAATAGATGCCAGACAATTTCAGATGGGAGGAATTTGCTGCAGTTCGATGACTTCCTTTTAAAATATCGTTCGTTGTTAAATGTGCCTCAAAGAGATATACAGCAGGGATATACAGCAGATAGATGAGCAGCTCAAGTTAGCCCGTAGTGATCTGAAATTTAGATGAGGATAAGGTGCTCGATGGCGATCAGTAACAGCGTGAGAAAGAAGCTGTGCACTACTACAGTCGGCGAACGAGCGGGCACGAAATCGACGCCACCTCTTGCATCCACTCACAGGGAAGGGGGGGGGGGTATGTTGTCACATTGAGAGAGGGGATTCGTCTAACCATAAGGGAAGCTGGTGCAGGCGGCGATTCTTGCTGCATGTCGCTCAGATCGGCTGCTACTGCTTTAGTGATAAATTTGCTGGGAACGCAAAGTTGCTAGCTATGAGGCCTGCCAGCATTCAGTATTTCGTCGTTCTGGAGTTGCAGATTGTCGCCAAAGGGATCAAAGGCTCGGTAGGACAGGGCTAGGCATGGAGTCGCAAACCGTAGTAACATTTAGTTTCGTACTCAGCGTGCGTAAATGCTAGAAAATACTGTATGAGTTCCATGCATGAGTTCCAGTCGTTTTTCTCTTCGTGGCAGATTTTTTCCTCTCTGAGTACTTATGAAACAGATGTACTGTATCCTAGGTAACTCCTTCGGGTGGTGAAGCAATTTCCCACCGACATATTGTAAGATGGGGAAATCAAAGGGACAAAAACACTTTTCTTTAGAGCGTGGTTTGTAGTTATCACTCGCTGGAATAAGAATAGCTGCATTTGCCACTTGCGCAGATCAGATGGGCCGTACTCGTCATGCGTTTCGAGGTTGCTGGCTGGATTCCACGGGATACTACACCAGGAC